GAGCAATCTTACAGTTTAGATAAATAGATACAAACTTAATATTAGAATTTCACTGTAGCAGAAGGGTTTTCTTAAAAATAGAATTTAATTAGCTGTATAGTGGAAGACGCATTCTTATAATTCAATAGAAGGTCTCCGAGGAGATGAATTTATATTTTTAATAAATAGAATGATCAGAAATTAGTATGTACTTACAAATTTGTTAAATAATGAAGTGGAATAATGAAATCTAAAGTGTTCAATTCGTTTTTATGAATATTTCTACCAAAATATAATTATAAAATCGTATTAAATTAGTTACTTAACATGTTGTTAACATAACTGTCTCTCATTTCTTTATTTATCTGCAGGGTAAAATAGTAAAATAAATTTTAATGTAAACGTATGAAACTGCTAAATAATAAGACAGTTGATATTTAGTTAGTGCAACAGCAGAAATTTGAAGCACTCTATCAAACATTGTGAAATGTTTCAATTTTCTTATCTTTTATTTTATAACTTTGTAATGTAATTACTTGAAAATTAGATGATAGTTTGTGAAATATTTATAGGTTGATGACTCCAGAAATATAACGAGAACTGAACTTATCGCAAAGTAAAGCTATTACACAAGAACTTGAAATATTTTGAACGTGAATCAGTTTAAACTCAAAAGCTTCATACTGATTTGCGAAAGCTCAATCAATATAATTAAACTTATGCTAACAATATCAAAATAAAATGACTGAAGAAGTAATTAGAATGTACTTATCCCTCGACTATAGTTACATTACAAAAAGTAGAGAATCTCTTAGCTAGTGTCGAATTGTAGCTTATTACTTATTGATACTCTAGAAATGCATCGTATGAAAGATTTATCAGATTCTTCTCCTTCATACATGTCGTTATAACAAATTCAAAATTTATTGTCTTACTTACAGCTCTTTTAGGTGTAATAGTGGAGCAAAGCTATCGGATTTTATATATCTTAATTGATTACTAGAAATATTCCTATTAATCAAGGCAATTCAATTAGATTGTTGACAATTGAAGCTAAAGAAATAATATGAAACTAATAGTATTTCTATATTTACAGAATAGTCATCGAATTCGCGTCTTTCAAAGTAGTAAAGATACCAGATGCAAGATTTCTTATTCTGTTCTCACTAATATCGCTACGATCAGTCCGATCATAATTAAAATAAATTATTCAAACAATTAATACGATAATCTCGATGAAAGACGATAGTTTGATAGCTAAAGTGATAAGTATTGCGATTTTAAAAGTAAATAATTGACTATTTATGTAGATAGTGAAGACTGAGTAATGATTAGGTAATCGACTTTAACACATATAAGGTAAATTTACCTAGCAAATAATCGAACCTAATAACTATTATGAATTTGTTCAGAAATACGAGTAGTTATACAGTCAAGCAGCATAGATCAATAAAATTATGTCCTTTGCCTTAACTAAAAATATCTTTTAAAATAGCAAAAATGAGTCTATAGAAAGTTGAGTAGCAGCTTCATTGAATTTCAGTTTAAGAATTCATTCAGAGCATACGTACATGACGGATAAACAAGGAATTCCATCGAGCGATAGGCTTTTATCGCTGCTTAATCTATTGCTGGAGATATTACTAAAATAATGCAAATAAATTATTTCATAATTAGTCACGCTATAAGTAACGATATAAATCATTAAGAGATACTGGTATCATAGACTAGCGTCATTCAAGTAGTCTACGAATATTATTAGCATTTCGAGGACAGCGGCATAGACACTTTCCAGTAAATGTGTAATTTAATCCTAATTGTCTTTTGATCAAGCTAAATATTTACATAAGTTGTAAACATTGAAAACATCCCGACACTTTAAATCCATTTATTAGATTATTTGATAAATCCCTAGCACGAAATGACAATAGATTAGTGATTGAATAACTTTCGCAATGATTATAAGGTAATATTTCAGTTTTTGATCCAGCAATACTTAAATTTAATACCAGTTTATCTTTTTCCTGTAAAATGATATACTAGCAGCTTAAGGTATACAATTATACGTAAAATTTGTAGAAAGACCAGGATTATCTCGATTGTCTGTTACAGTAAATACATGCTAAATAGACTTCCATATAATGGAATAACACATTATTGCACATTTGATAACGTGGCAATATTATGCTGATACAAGTGGTGTAGCTGATCTAAATGCAAAAAATTGTTCTCAAGTTCCACAATACTTTTGAACAAAGTTCATGTAAATAAAGAATTCTTTAGCAGACCGCCTAAAAACCAGCAGTATTGGTCCTTAAATATGCGTCGACGAAAGAGCAAAACCATTTCAGAAATACTTACATTCTACTGATATTGTAGCTGATATTTGATGGACAGGATGGGTCTATTAGTCTCATTTTATTCTTAGATAAACCTCTGTTATATGATTTATAATAAACCTATAATCAATATTGTACCTGGCAGTATCTAATAATATTGCAATTACCAACAGGTATCCATTATCTAATCACAGATTCAATACTTACAAGTAATGCAGAGAGATAAAATTATTTAAAGGCAATTCGGTAATGTAGTGAAATGGATTTCCATCAAGCCATCTTGTATCATCGTTTAGTAATTGAAAAGTTCATACAGTTAATATGTTATGTAAAAAAGGAATATTAAAACACCAACTAAATGTTTATTTAGCTCATCTAAAGCTGTCATTTTCAAATAGTATCAGATAAAATAGTTAGCTGATTTTACTCCTACATTTCTTCAATATTATTTAAGCCATGAAATGCTTTGGAAGAAATAGTTTGAATATTGTTAGATCTTAGAAATCTGAAACAGTAAAAATAATCAATTTAAAGACGTAACTTAAATGACTACTTCTACGTGAGATCAACTTACAGCGACTTTAAATTAGCTAAATCAGTAAATTGATAATCTTCAATAGATCTTATTCGATTTTCATCCATCAATCTAAATAAATGGAACGAGATCCGTATTCGAATTTGCATTTGTTGAGATTAATATTGACCAAATGTTTAAATAATATTGAGTTATAGCATTTTTTCTTA